GTAAATAATTATTAATCTTATATTTTTATGCAATAACATTTATTATTGTAAATTTTTCCAGTTTTTGGATTTCACGAGTGTGTGTTTGTGCGAATAAAATCATCTGATCGCCTCGCTGAGTAGTCTTTGCTTTACCAAAACCCACACCCGAAGTTATTTTGCCACATGGGTAACCTCTGGATGCACAGACTTTACCAACAATGTTAGTACCATTTTATTTTTTTCGAGTTACCTTTTTTTAGTTTATTTTTTAAGTTACCTTAGTTCCAAGATAGGTATTATGTTTTTTTACTTTTATGTACCTATTAGACAAATAAACCATTTAGGTCCAATGAAATTTTTTTTTGGGGGCACTTTGTGACACATCAGTTACACGTGCTCACGACTAGGGGGGTGAATTTAAGACAAATCTAATGAAATTAGTCCCATTTGTATCTAATTTGTGTCATATTCTCGGCCCGCTAAACGACGACTTTGAACTTGTGTGCAAATTTTTAGTTGTCACAAAGTCCCCTCATTGATGGGGGTGAGATCGTGACAACTATTTTTGTAAACCACAGCTCTACTTCTAAAAATTTTCAAAATATCTCATTGTATTTTAAAAGCCAAATGATGTAAGTTTATCCCCACATAACAGTGAAAGAACATTCATATTCTCAGAATATTCCCTCAAAGTGCTTTTTGGAATGTTCTTTTAGGAATGTTTAATGAATATTCTAAGATTGTTCCGATTGAAATATTAATTTTTGAACGTTCTATTTATGTACTAGGAATGTTGCTTCTATGCACCTACCTGAAAGATTGTGCTAAAAACCTACTTTATATAACAATCTTTGAATATTGTCATACGAACATTATTATAATGTACCCTAAAAAATGTTCTTTCGAGTAATATCTCTATCAAGTATTAAGAATATACCTACCAAGTTGTGCTGAGAAGTTTATGTAGGTAGGTAACCAGGATAAGAATATTTTCATATTGTTCACCTAATTATCTGAAGTACCTACTCAAAAATCATATTTTAACAATTAAACAATAATGCTCTGCTCTATCTAGAACCTACTAAGAATAGTATAGATATATTCTTTTCCTCTTGGTTTGTAGGACTTCCAAGAGAGGGAGCGACGCGCTATTAAAGATCTACATCTTACCTCGCGTTTGAATCAGCTTGGAACCTGTTTTTCTCAGTTGGCGTGCTTCGATGAGAGCATAACAAGCTCGAAACCGGAGCTTTGGTTAAATACTTGTGTTTTCCAGAGAAGTTTTCCAACAACTCTTTCACTGCCTTTAATATAAAAGGGCTGAAAGGAGCATTTATTTGGAAGCGAAAATTAACATTCCAAGTATATCCTTAGAATCAACCAAGAATGTTATATGTCTAGGATGCATATTGCGAATGATATTATGTAGATATATTCTAAGAATATTTCACGCATATTGGTATAATATTCTTTTGAGAACATAACTATAATGTCATAGAAACATTCCTTGAATGTGAGAATACCTATACATATCGAGCATATTTTTAGAATTAAACAAGAATATTCTTTACAGGATGTACTGAGAATCTCATAGGTATATTCTAGGAATATCTTGATGGATTTCTCAGGAAGTTCTTGGGTATTGCAAACAGTATTTCTACAATCTTTTCTCAGAACATTCTCAGGACATTCGCAATGGTTTTGGCGAACATTCTAGGCACATTCCTCCTAAAAAAAGAACATTCTTAATACATTCTAAAGATGCAATTTTGTTAAGTGGGATCATTGACCTACCAGAAATTATTTTTTTCTTTTTTAAGGTTTAGAAAAATCAACCGAAACCATAAAATTTGTCACAAAGTAACCTCGTTTTACGGTAACTTTGACCTTTATTATAATACTAGTGAGAATAATATTCCTGAAAATGCAAATGAAGAAAATTTTCCGGAAGTAAGCCTAGAATATCCCACGACCTATTAGAAATAAATATTGCTTCAAACAACGCATCACCATTCATTCAAATCAAAAATCCCAACGTAAAATTGTCAATTGACACCGGCACTACACGTTCAATTATTCAATATTAAATCTGCCATAGCAGAAACCTTTTATCCACAGTGTATATATACCATGCACACAATGTCATAAAAACAACTATCGGAAGTCGATGTGCAAACTTATTTCGAGCTTTAATTCCTATATTTTCAGATTCTGGCATTGATAGGAAACTAGATTTTATCCTTTTTGATTTTCATGACTTCTCTGATGGTATGATAGGCATTAATGACCTAATGAAATTGAATGTAAATCTTGATCTAACAAATAAAAGACTAATTAATTGGGCCTAATCTAGAAATACCCTTCAACTATAGAAAAGCTGACGAGGTCAACTTCTCCTTCTCTGTGAGCCCACAAGAAAAAGTTTTGAAAAATCTACCCGTTAGCATTTATGAAGGTTAAATTTTTACAAAACCTTGTAAAGCTAATAACTTATACATTCCTCAAATTTTAACAATTGCCAAAGATGGATTTGCACCAATAGAAATCGAAAATCAAACTGATAGAACTATTAGCGTCACCATGGATTAACCTCTACCAGTGGATTCGTTCGATTTAAACCTTTATGAAATTTATATAGGTAATAGATCATTTCTATACTTCGATCCAAAAATCTGATTTCCCACACAATAATGAAAACATCAATCCCTTATTGAGAACTGAACACCTCAATTGCGAAAAAAAATCCTTATTATCTAAATTATGTAATGATTATTCGGATATATTCTTGAAACCAGGCGATAAACTCACATTTAGGTACCTCTAAAAAAAAACATAGGTATGCTATTAAAACAACCGACGACATCCCGGTTCATACGAAAACTTATCGTTTTTCGTACGTACACAAAGATGAAGTGCAAAGACAAATAAAAGAAAAATGTTAGATAAAGGCATTATAAGTCCATCCTGTAGTCCGTGGATTGGATTGTTCCAAAGAAAATGGACGCTTCGGGTAAAGTAAAATGGAGAATTTTTTGCGAATATAGAAATCTAAATGCTAAAACAATTAATGATAAATATCCAATACCCAACATAAACGACATCCTAGACGTAGAGCTCAATATTTTTCGACGCTCGATTGGCTAGGCTTTCATCAAATCGAAATAGGAAAAGATTCTATTAAAAAAATTGCTTTTACAGTTGATAATAGACATTATGAATACTTACGAATGCCCTTCGGATTAAAAAACGGACCCTCCACATTCCAGAGAATTATGGATGAAGTCCTAAAAGAAATAATTATTTTCAGTACAGGATTGCAAGAGCAAATTCAAAATTTAGAATTAGTATATTCCAAATTGGGAGAAGCAAATTTTAAAATACAACTTGACAAATTGAATTTTTAAGAAAAAAGTTGAACTTTTAGGTCATGTTGTAACAAAAAGTGGTATCAAACCAAACCAAAAAAAGATTCAAGCAGTCCAAAAATTCTCAATACCTAAAACACAACGTGATATAAAATCTTTCCTTGGACTTTTAGGTTATTATCGCAGATTCGTAGAAAATTTTGCAAAAATAACAAAAGCCTATGACTAAATGCTTGAAAAAGAACGCAAAGGTTAAACACACTAAAGAATTTCTGGAGTGTTTCGACACATGCAAGAAAATTCTTACATCAGAACCCGTACTAGCCTACCCCGATTTTTCTAAACTAAAATTTGCTATAGGAGGAATCATGTCCTAAAACAATCATCCTATATGTTACGCTTTACAAACATTGAACCCTGCTGAAATAAACTACTCAACGATAGAAAAAGAACTTCTAGCTATCGTATGGAGCTGTAAATATTTCAGACTTCAGACCCTATTTATTTGGTCGTAAATTTATCATCCTTACTGATCATAGACCACTTCAATGGTTGTTCTCAGTGAAACAACCAGAATCTCGTCTTGTTCGTTGGCGACTCAGCTTGGAAGAGTTCGATTACACAATTCAGTATAAAAAAAGGCAAATTAAATAAGGTCGGATGCCCTTTCACGCAACCCTGTTAATTTAAATGATTTAGAAACCGAATCAGTCACCAATAATTACGGTGGTATAAACGACATTATAGAGGATTACCTTAATAATCCGGACAAAATAAAAGGAATAAGTGAGACGGCAATTGAAGAAATTTTAGGTACATAAAAACAACAAAAAACTCCAAAGATTAAAATATCATCAGACCTCAGTATTATACCAATTCCGCAAGGTAAGAACTACGAATTTAGAAACAACATAGATGGAGATAATTCCCCAAAATAAGATAATAAGCTTGATATCACAATTACACTCATAGAAACCCCATCAAAAACACTCACTGTCGATAAAGACAATCAGAAACCTTCTTCTTGTTCAGAAAACAGTACATCGATCGAAAACCCAATTTTAAATATAGGTACCAATTTCCGAAAGATTAATAAACACTTTCAAAAATCAAATTATCACTTCAGGTGATACAGATAAAATGCAGTGCAAGCAAGAGAAAATTTTCGAAAAAAATCGTTTTTTCCATAGCTACTGATAAAGTAGCCTTTAATCTACTAAAAATAGTAGATAAAGTAGTACTTTAACTGCGAGGGTAGATTAAATGATACTTTAACAGCAAGGATAGATAAAGACATTTATTTTGTCAAAAATATATACATATTTTGTTTTTTATTTATTTGTCAAACGAATTTCTACTTACGCAAAAGTGTTCGACTCAAATAATTTCTAAATGTTTTTGATACTCTACATGCGTCCATAATTAAGCTATGGAAAAAAACTTTGTTTTACACACGACGATAAAATGCCATTATCGTCTCCTGGAATTAATTCACTCGCGAAACTACTATTTTAACATCTTGTTTAAAAAATAACTATTTCTTTCTTTTTTTCTCTCATGAAATTTTCATTGAAGCAAACCGCAGTAGGCCTTTAAGGTGCTTATTCAGGAATAGCCTTCGATATTTATAGGATTCGATAAAAATAAAAAACCTTTTATGTTTTCACTTGTTTATTTTTTTAGGGAAGAACAACATATATAAATTTCTGTACATAAATTTAGCCATATATACAAAACAATAATACATACAAATTCTTTGGCGAAAATATATACAAAGAAAAATTATAATAATAAAAGTAACCAATAAACATAACAAAAAAATATTAGTAAATAATATTTACCACAGATGAAATACAAGTAGGTATGTAATATGCTAAATGAGGGGCGGATATTTGAAAAAAAAATTGACCAAAGCCAACTAATTCAATTACCCATTTTCGAGGAGTTTTTGTTTTAATCCAGAAGTCAAATGTATAAAAAAGAAAATTCAAAATATCTGCCTTGAAAATAAACCCACAAAAAGCATTACATTACAGAAGCAAGGGTAGTGAAAACTTGAGACAGAGTTTTAAATATTGAGCTACATTATTTTCACATTATTATGACGCACATTTGAAAAAACTGAATCAAATTTTTTTAAATTACCACACAAAGCAGAAACTTAAATAAATTATAGGTACAATTAACAATATTTTCACAACTATGCGTGACTGAAAAACAATTAACTAATAACCGTGAATCAGTGCAAAATCCCCTATGAAACACTCAAGGGTTTGGAACGATTTATTTAAATCTTGAACATCACTTTCCACAAATTTCAATTTCACTTATTGATGTGTTGCTATCAAAAGATCTAAACGAAATTGTTCCTTGTTTAAGTACAAAAGTGCCACATAACAACAATTACTCGTGAGTATTAGGAAAAAGTCTTGAATGATTGTACACAGCTGATAGATAGTAAACATACGACTGGGACCATTGCCAATTTTTTGTTTGTTTGTTTAAAGGTTTACTTTGAATGGGACGGAACAATAATAAAATAGTTTTTTTTCTTATTAAATATAAAATCAATTGGTCAAAAACTCAAAAAAAGAAATTGCACATTTATTAATAAATGTCAAAATATTGTATAAAATTAAAGAGGCAACTTCAGTTTCCAACTAATTTGGAAAAGGTGCCTGCTAACACAAAAAAAAATGTGCCATGGTCCATAACACACTCAATTACACGTTTACGATTTTTATTCTATTCAGTCAGAAAGGGTTACATCGACGGGTGGTTATTGTGATGCAAAGTGGATATTTCAAAATTTGGTCTAAGTGCATTTGACTTAATATTTTCAGCTACTGATTTAACCACATCACACACACAGATAACCCTAAAGTTCAATTAAAATGGATCGAAATGAAATTGCTCTAATTGTTAAATAACACTGGAAGGTAGTTTTTCATACTGTTGAGTTTGACTGCCTCTTCGTCTCGGAATAGTGCCGCTTATCGCCACAGTTGCCATCTAATAAAGAAATAAGATATTTGGTAATTATTTTCAAACATACTTTTATCAAAACAAGTCAGAATATTACACAACACTTTATTACTTCAACAGTTGTTCAACGTTTTGGGCATTTCAAATTTTACTGTCTAACTTACTTAACTGAAACTACTCAACAATAGGTTTGTTCCAATGACAAATAAACACACATAGTCATTACAGAAAACAAAATTTTTTGTCGCCAATATCTAGAAGAGCAATCCACCACCGGTGTATCTCCTCCAATTTGGTTGCCAAACTACATAAAAAAAAATATAGAATTTGAGTGTTTTTTTTTTATACAGGGTGATAAAGGAAGTACGAATTACGTCGATCACCGAAAAAAGTCTGCTTTTAAAAAGTTTTATTTTCAAAAGTTACAAGCTATCTCGAGAGCAAAACAATATGGAATGAATATTAATCTTAAACTAAGGTACATTTATATTTTAATTTGTGCTGAGCTGGTCCACGTAGGTACCTGGCGATGGAAACATCTTGCGTCGGCAGGTTTCATGGGATTCGTGATGAGTATACTTTGTAGCTACAATGCAACTCCTCTCATCTGGTATTTTCTAAGGCAACCTCTTCTTTCGGTTTGCGGTCGGATTTTGGCTTCTTCAAATGTTTGGCAATGGCAATTCTTCTTTGAAGTATTACGATTATTATGATGACCAGTAGACAGACGGCTAGGACACCAAACATTATCGAAGAGTATTGGCTTGATCCGTTTTCGATTTCTTGAACTGGAGATAGTTGCGGTTTGCCATGTCTTTTAGCTTGTAGATTTTTTCAAAGTTGATTTGACTTAGATAAATATTTCTGGTAGGATGAGTGGTTTACCATGGTTGATTTTCACGTTGTTGGTAAATTTCTTGGATCCAATTTGAATATGGCATTCATTTGAAATTTTCACTAGTGTCGGCTCTTCTAGATCAATATATTGGTCCATTTTGCATTTCGCTAATATGCGTTGCATTTTGTGTGGAATTATTAGCATTTCTTTAGTAGTGATTTGATTTGTTCTATTATTGATTTTTGTAGATAAATTTGCAGAATTTGGCAGGAATTTGTTTTTTTGTCCATCTAGAACTTCAATGATACAATCATCTTGAGGGTGTATAACTTCATTGCAGCAGTATGTTTCTTCAAGTAAAGGACAATCACTTTCTTCAAACTGGATTTCCTTGTTTGCACGCGCCATGTAGGGGTATTTTGTAACGAGCATATGGGTTTTTTGGATTACAGAAAATACATTCTGGAAAGAATATGTTTGAGGTTTCACAATAAGTACGTGAATAGCGAAAGTAATTTTTGATTGAGAAAAACTAACTTGTGTACTCAGAATTTGATAATAATTCAGAATATTTTTGAAATTTGGAACTTCCTCTTCAGTATAAATATTCTTTAAATAACCTAACATTTCTTCCAATTCAGAGCTCGATATTTATAGAGTTATGTAAAGAATTTTTTAATTTTGAAAATAATATCGCGTCCTCTAGATTATCTACAAAATTAATTAGATTTTGACAATCTAAATTGATGTGAAATAAAACATTTCGAAGAATAATAAAATTATTTGAATTATTAATTTTATTATCAAGAGTTTGTTCAACCATCTTATTAATATTTTGTTAAAGTTTTCGTGGATTTTGACTTAGTGTAAAAATAGTATTGTTATAACTATTAATTAGATTTTCTGATATTTGTAAATTCAACTCTTTAACAATGGTGAATTGACAACATTTAACAATGCTTTCTTGATTTTGTTCCAATACTTTGATAGCATGATTGAAGCGTTCTTCATTTCATCATCCTTATCTAAAGTTCCGAATAGCCATTTTTGAGCTTTTCCAATAATATTAATTAACCCTGTTTTTTGTCTTCTATGAGGATAGAAGTTTCATACACGTTACTTTCCATATTATTTATTAGATATTCAGTGCGTAGGAGTGAACTTTTAAATAAGCCATTACTTATACGATATAGAATGATCAACTACTTCACTAAAGCGATTATTGCATTTCCTAATTGTATAGGAAGCACAGGGTTTTTGATAGTCGTTCTTTGAACGTCTTTATCCTTACTAGGAATGAGAAGGGCCAGGATTATTGGGAATAGGATCTAAGGTAGGATTTCCATAAAAGTTTTTCGGAATTCAGGACAAAGAAGTCAAGAAATCCGGACAAAATCCGGACTTTGCCGAAATAGCTATTTATGCAACAAGTGTGTAAAATGAAAGACATTCGTGAAAAAAGGTTCACTTTACACCAGTATTGCATATACAAAAAAAATTCTACTACCAATAAAATATGCTTAAAAAAATAAATTCAGACAAATACTTTACGCGCTAGTGCGTAAAGTGAAGTAATTTACTAGAAAAAAATGACAGTGTCGACATCTGTCATTGACATTACTTCACGGACTAGTGTAAAGCGAATACTTTACGTACTCATGCGTAAAGTAAAATTTTACGTCTTTTGAATAGTGCGTAAACTGAGTGAGTATGAATGTTTTCACGATCTCCGAGTTTTTCGGACATTGTTCCGAATTCCGGCCGGACTTCCCAAACATGTCCGGGTAAATCCGGACGTATGGAAACCCTACTAAGGGAATAGGAGCAGTGTTATCTGCATCTTGCTTATCCTGTAAAAAAGATTTTGTTTTGATTTTTGGTTTTCTTGCTGTGCCTTTATGATAGGAACCTTTGTTAGTGAAAACTTTAAGTGTATTTTGGCCAGTTATTGGAACTTTCTTAAACTTTGGAACATTTTTACTACGAGCTTTTATTTTAATGTAGGCTGTATTTTGATTTTCAAAACTTGGACAGGGTCAGATCTATTCTCATTGAATTTTGAAATAATTTTCTCTTTGGCCTTTTCATTTCTTTCTTAAATCTGCTTATAGAGTACTATCTTTATGTGACTGTACTTAGTTTGATATCAACACGTGGTCGCTTAGATCAAAAGGATCGGTGTTGTTTATATAACCTTAAATTATTTCGAATGGTGTGTATTTTGTTACACTATGTATAGTGTTATTATATCCGAGTACGGCACGTTTAATTAACTGGTCTTCTGAGAAAGCTTTATTCTCTTCTTTTAAACATCTAAAGTGTTCAATTAAAGTTGAATGAAACCTTTCTACAGGGGAATTAGAATTACTATTCTTTGCAGTGGTAAAATGAAGTTCAATTTTATATAATTTGCAAAAATCCTGGAATTCTTTATTTTTGAATTCTGTTCCTGAGTCTATCGTTACTCTAAGAGATAAACCGTGATGAGTTCCTGTGACACTTTTCTCACTTATTTCTTTTTATTTTCTCTGGATTATTTAGGTTATACAACTCACTGTATATTATTCCCATATGACACGAAAGGCTTAACAAGTGATAAGCCTTTTGGGATTATCGCGCTTGGTGGCATTTATAGCAAATTCTATTATAGAATTTGTTTTTTAAATTTTAAAGTATTAAAGTTTAGTTCGTTGTATAACCTTTTGAATATCACTCGATGTTTCAGGATTACCTGATACTTTTACCTGACACTCAATGCAATACCAGCAACACCACTCCTCCTTCGGAGTCGTGGTGTTGCTGCGTAACGCGTTTCGTGACAGGTAAAAGTATTATCCGGTAATCCTGAAACCTCTTGTGGTATTACATTCGATAATCCTCTATAATGTCGTTTATATCACCGGGATAATGGACTCTTTCACTAAAATTTAAATACGTAATTTAAGTATAAAATCCCAAAAGAGGAACTATTTTAGGCACATATACCAAAAAAAAATTTTCTACAAGGTTAAATAAGTTTTTTACAGGCATTTTAAACTGCAAAATTCAAATTAATTAAAAACGCGCCGATTTGCTGACGTCGCATAAATATTTTTCATTTCGCTTGTTGTTGCAAGGAGCTGGCCGCCTCGGCTGTATTTACCCTGTAGTAAATGCAGGTAAAGGTTCGAATGCGCTGTTGTCGGTGGTGACTAAATGTAGTGCAACGTAAAATAAATAAATAAAACTAAACATAAAAAATTATATTAAATTGTGTTTAGGCATAATTTTAATAAAAATGTTAGAAAATCTTGAATCCATAACTAATTAATTTAACTACTTTTCATGATATTTTGCGAACATTTCAGAATTAAATCTATTACAAATTTTCAATGTTGAAAATTAGTGGCAACACGGTCAAATTGCGAGCTGCGACGTCATAGAAATAAATTCTGGGTTTTTATTTGGAGGTATTTCTTTTTTTTCTGTTTTCTCAAGAAGGACTATGAATTTTTCAAAAGTAAAAGTACAGAAAATTCTGTTTTTAGTTGCTTTATCCAAATATGCCAATTTCAAAAATTAGTGAAAGAGCCCATTGGTGACTGATTCGGTTTCTAAAGCATTTAAATCAACAGGGTTGCGTGGAAGAGCATCCGCTGCCTTATTGAATTTGCCTTTTTTTTATACTGAACTAGCTGACCCGGCGAACTTCGTACCGCCTCTGAATTATTAAATATACCTATTAAATGTTGTGTTAACGTATCTATTAGCTGAATTAAATTCAGTTTTTTTCGATGGTGAATTTGGCTATGGTTGAAGAAAATTAATGTTTACTCTCTGGATCAGAAGTCACCTAAAATTAAAATTTTACATCATCCTTTTTCAGGCAGCTTGTGGGCATTATTCTTGTAAAGTGTACCACCAAATAAATAAACTCATGCACAGGAATGTTCAAAGAATGTAAAGAAAACAAAAAAAAATCTCTAGCGCAGCCCTGTTTCACTCTATCTGCACTGCATGCACTGCACTACTCCATCTGTTCTACTCTATCTGCACTACTCTATCTGATCTACTCTTCCTGCACCACTCTATCTGATCGGAATAGTTCTGTTCGAAATAGCTCCAGTTCCTGAACAGCATTGTTCTACTGTTTCTGCAATGCCGAGCTTCGTTCCAGGTATCAGAGATGGCGCGGTATATAAAATACAAA